CATGGTGAAGTCGTTGAAACACATAGTGTCCTCGGACAGCCCCAAGTCTCTCATTTGCGGCGTGCGCAGCTCATCCTCGTCCATGCGCAGTGCGCACCTCGGCGTGGGCGGTAGCGGTGTGGGCACGTCCAGGCGGGGGAGGCTCAGCTCAGGCATGGCGGGCTGCTGGCCGCACCCTGAAAAGTTCTGTTGGAGATATAGCTCGCACAGGCCAAAATCGGACAACTTGGGGGTGCTCATGGGGGCAGCCGGGTCCGTAGGCACCGCGGCCAGAGGCGGCGTCGGCAGATTGCTGCAATCCTCTGCCACTTCTTCTTCTTCTACTACTTCTTCCTGCTCCTTGTCCTCATTGTCGTCGTCCTCCTCCTCCTCGTTGTCAGTCGACTCTTCCTCCATTGTTGCATCTTCGGCTACAGCAGTTAAAGTAGGTCTGGTTTAATTTGAGTTACGATACAATACAATACAAATACATGGAAAGAGGGACATTTTTCAAAGAGAAAGCACTATTTATCTCACATTATCGAGGAAAACAAATACACACACACAAATCAAATATTTTATTTTAAGGCCACATTCCTCAGCTATATGTTTTATAGGATTTTTTTTCCCCATAAAGCTTTTGGTTGAATCTCAAATGGTTCCAACTTTTTGAATCGTTTGACTTATTTTTACACTTTCGAAAGAATTAAGAATGTCAAAATTTCTTTGTATATATGTCACTATTCCGGTACTTACCGTGAGACGGGCATGCATCTGTGGAAGTTTGGTATCCGTAATCCTCAAAGTGTGCCGTGAGCTCACGCACATCGTGGGCGACCTTGCTCTGCATGGCCCTGCAGGCATGGATGAAGGCGTCCATGTCTGTTTTGTGTGCTTTCTGCTTACTCAGCTCATCTTGCAGCTGACCCTGCAAACCAAAAACACTTCTCAATCCTTTGAGCTATGTCTATCTATGAATTAGATCTTTTCTACACAACCAATGTCTGTTTTAGAACATACCTCCTGCATTTACAACAGTAGGCTGCCTCTACCGGAAGTGACTATCTTCTGGCTTCTAATTGGCTAAAATAGCCTCGAGGACAAGCGCCACTTGTTGCGAAAAGAGGTTTTCACGTTTGTTTTTTAGGTTTGTTTTTTTTACTCCGGAAAATGTATAAACTCTTTTAGAAATACCCGTAAAGATATTTTAAGTACCAATGTGATCAAGAATGTGAGGCATGAAAAAAGTCAGATTAAAAATAAGTCATTTTGTCGAGCACATTTTGTTTGTTTTGCTTCTTACCTTGAGGCCCAAAACATCGCAGTTTAAATCGTGACAGGCTCGCATGCCTTTCGCTGCTGCTTCTGGGGGGCAAAAAGAAAATGAAGGCCTTTTATCTTAACCATGTTGTTGGCTTATTTGTGTCGAATGTATAGATGTGTCGGGAATGTTATCCAACTGACCGCAGTCTGCATTGTCGTGGCGATAGTTGAAGGTCTGCTGTAGCTGGGCCGTCTCCGTTTCCAGCGTCCGACACAACTTCTTCAACTTGGCGAAAAATTCCGACTTGAGGTCCATTTTCGAAGCGCGAATGTTCACATAAATGCGAGACAAAAAAAAACAACTCCACACGTGGAATGCTGGGGTTAGGTAAACCGATGTTTCGTTTTTGGCGCCTCCGCCTCCATCCCGGAAGAATTGCTTCTTCTTCGTTGCTTGAAGTGTTTTTTTTTTTAGGGGGGGGCGGGGAGGTTGCGCCCCTATTGGCCGTGAGTATCGACGTGTGAGTAGGCGTGTGAGTGTCCGTGCGTGCGAGTGCTCGTGTGCGCGCGCGCGCGCGTGTGTGTGTGTGCGCGTGTGCGTGTGTGTGTGGGTGTGTGTCCGCGTCCACGTGCGTGCGTGCGGACAGTGTCCAGCCTGTGTTTGTACTGTACATCCATTTATTTATTTATTTGTTTACTTAAACCCAAAATAGTTTGTGCCATCTGTGCAGGTTTTCCAAAGAGACGGCAACATTCTGGAGGGAACATAGAGTGTTTGATGGTCTTTATTGATTATTATTGCTGTGATGACTAAAATGAGGGATACATCGAAAACAGGGGTGAGCAGAGTACGGTCATCTTACTGTGGCAACTCTGAAAAATTGTGACGCTCGTAAATCATCATACCACTGTATTCTGCATTCTAACTTTTATTTTCTTATCCAAATGAACACTTTTATACATCATTAAATAAAGTAAAAATTACTATTTCTATATAGTAACATTGGAAATAAATGATAAAATAAAAATATTTTTACAAGTTATGATTTTAAATGAATTATTTTACATAGACATGATCTACTTTAAATCTCGTCTCTGAGCAGTCCCAAGTGTCTGCACTGTAAACTAAATGGCCTACCACTTACATAGTGCTTTTCTACATCAGATACTCAAAGCGATTTACACTTTTAAGCTCATTCACCCACAGATGATGCAGCATGTGAAGGAACCGGGGGTTCAGTATCTTGCTCAAGGACACCTCGACATGGTTGCAATAGCTGGGGATTGAACCACCAACATCTGGGTTGGGAGACAACTCCTCTCCCACTGAGACATGCCAACTCACAACTACATTTGCAAATAATTTTTCATGTCGCCAAAATCTTTTGAACATGTTCAAAATATTCCTAAATGGGCCATAATTTGCTGTCACAGCACTTTGCAACGTTGTTACGTTTCAATCCATTATGGCAGTCACCATCCAGGTGGCCTTTGAGTACAAAGCTCCCCCCCCCCCCCAGTGTATATTAGCATAATATTTTACACTATCTGATCGAGCTGCTTCCTCACGCAAATGCCGCATCCAGCTCCACCATCTTGTCCAAATCCTTGCGCACGTCCGGGTAGGCCTGCAGCACCTCCTGAAAGTCATCCCAGGACAGACTGAAACACTGGCAGTCGGTCAGCGCCTTCACCGTAGCCAGATGTTTGCCTCTGGTCAGCACGCATGCCTCTGCTCAACACACACACACACACACACACACACACACACACACACACACACACACACACACACACACACACGTGCAAGGCAGAGTCACAGTTAATGAGCAAGAATTCATGGGCAAGCAGAATTGACAATTAATCCCAAATTAGAGGAATAAAAATGAATAAATAAACAAATAAATAAATAAGTAGATACAACCACCCCTCCTAATGTGGAAAGACTGCTAAGCTAGGAGAAGGACTTAAAAGCTGAGAATTAAATAAATCCCCCCTAACTGGAGATGATGCAATGTTGACTTTGTGTTTAAAAGATGCTCACATCAGAACTGCTTGCATCTGATGAATTCCAGAGTCCACTAGTTGTGTTCTGTACACCGATTAAATGTGTTTACATTATGAAAACAGAACAACATCATATCATCAGGATCATAACACATTAAAGGGGAAGTCATGTAAAAAATGTCTTTACAATATGTTCTATGGGCACATACTAGTTTAAACATGGCATTCTGATTCATGTTGCGTTTGTGGAATATAAAAATCCACCTGCTTTTATCCATCTCAGGGAACCACCGTCATAGTTTTGGTTCATCTGTTTTCTAAGTTTGGTCATGTGATGTGAGCAAATTGAGCCCAAAAAAGGCACTGTGATGTCATTTTCAGTCGACAGCAAGTGGCAGTACAAGGCAAAATGGACACTCCTTGAGCTGGATAAAAACAGCTGGATTTTTGTGCTTAAATGATATTCCGCAAAGGCGATGTGAATCACAATGCCGTGTTTGGACTAATAGGTGCACATCGAACATATTATTTGTTTATTTGTGTATTTGGACCCATAATTTTATCTTTACCTGATTTTCTATATGTTTTTATGTATCTACACTTTTGTAGATGTTTCTATATCAGTGTCAGTTTAGAATTTCTTTTGTATCTGTGCCTTTTTCTGTGTCTGTATTAGTTTCATGTGAAGCCGATATACTGTAATCACTCTTTGGGCGTTTTGCGGATAAACGGCAGCATCCCAAATGCTAATGTGTTTTCACCTTCCAAAACTGCAGGGGGCACTACATCCCCATAGGGTAACAAATGAATTTACACAATACAGTACTTGTTTTTCATCTGCTTCCCAAAAGAACTTTTTGTATGACAACAACAACAGCAGGAAGAACATGCCGGTGGGGAAGATAATCCATCAGAACCTGCTGTTCACTTTCTCAAAACACAGTTGCGTTTGAGGATTATTACGGAGTTTAGCTGGAAACAATTTGAAAAGAGACAGATGATGACGCAAAGATTTGAACATGTTTCACACGACATGACACACAAATTCACCCCTCGCCTCAAATAACAACTGCAGGATAAAACATGATCTAGCAATCTGGACTATCCTGTGTCCTGGAGCAGGAGGGATGTTTCTACATCTGCTCTTGTCTCTGTACTTGTGCATTTTCCTGTTCATGACTCTGTTCCTATAGCTGTAGCTGTACCTGTTTTTGCATAATCTAGAACCATTTCTTTATTGGTTTCTGTATCTGTCCCTGTTTCTGTATCCATTTCTGCCATTGTACTATTACCTGTTTCTGTTTCTGTACATGCATCTGTAACTGTACTTGTTTATGTATGTTTCTACATCAGTTCTTGTATATGTTCCTGTATCTGTTTTGGTTTCTGTATCTGTAGTGGTTCCTATTGTATCTGTCTGTGCTTTTCTTCACAAGTACGTATCTGCATCTGCATCTGTTTTTGTATTGGTTCCTGTTTTTCTATCTGTTTCTGTATGTTTCTATGCCGGTACAAATACCTGTATGCCTCTGTACCTATACCTGTAGTCATACTTAAGACTGTGTCCGTACCCGCATCCACACCTGTACCCACACCTGCACCTGTACTTATGTCTCTGTGTTATGTACTCCTAAAGCATGCACAACATGCCACAGTTTTGTAAACCCTGCTGTAAAGCCCGAGTGATCCAAGTGTACCTCCAAAGAAGTCTCCGTCACAGAGCTCCCTGTGGAAGTCGTCGTTCTCCTCCAGCACCTGGCCGTGCTCTATGAAAAACATGCGGTCTCCTGGCGCGTTCTTCCGGATGATGACGTCGCCCTCCTGGTACACCTCGTAGTCCAGCCTCTGCACGATGCTAATGATCACATTTTCGTCTTTGTTCCGGAACAATGGCATGTTCCTGAGCAGGCGGCTGCACATCACTGTTAGTATTTGCTGGGGAAAAAAAGTCCAAAGGGAAATTGTTTAGTTGTTCAGTGGAGCTACAGCATGTGTAGGTTGGCGGGTAAAGGAGAAGATGGCTTATTGTTGATACCTCCCTTAAGGCGGACGACACAGTGTGCATGACCTCCTTCGCATCGAACCATTTCCCTCCGTAGCGTGCCTGGTAGTAGTTGGTGATGCGCAACTGCAGCTCTGGCGGGAGTTTCATAAAGGCCATGTAGTGTTCCAAGCGGCTCATCTGGGAAGACAGATCTACTTTCACTTCGAATAACAGACAACACTCTACAAGCACTGCTACCTCAAATTGTTTCTGTTTCTTTAGGCTTGTCTGCATCTTCAGCTGTTTGTTTACCTGTACCTGTTTCTGTGCTTGTACCAGTACTTGTTTCTATAGACCTTGTGTTATACCAATCATCTTTTTTCGGATATTACTGAAAATGAAAAAGCATTGTGTACCTTGCTCTTGTACTCCTTGGCAGCGGGGTCAATGTTGGCGATCATGGCAGTGGCGTTGGCCACCAGCACCGTGTACATCAAGCACCCGGACACCATGCTCACCATAACGATCCACATCTCCACATAATCTACAACCACAACATTGCATTACAGACACAACTACAGGCTCCATTTTGTTCTGGGGCAATTCATCTAGGCCAAAAGAAGAAACTGCTCAGGATGTAGTGCTTTCAGGAGGTCCTGGAAGGTTTGGAGACAGGGTGGGGGTGGGGGCTCTGCATCAAAACCTTTTAATTCCAGGACCTAAAAGTAGCCTAGAGAGCTAGGAATCTTTGGGGTCTCAATTTAGTTCAGGGCAATTTATGAGGGTCAAAAGAAGACCCTACTCGGGGTGTGGTACGTTTGAGAGGTTCAGAAACCTTTGGGGATAAATCTGAATGGAACATTTGAGTTCCAGCAACTGCAAGTAACATGGGCTTGAGGTTCCTGGAAGCTTTGAAGGGCCATTGTCTAGCTGGACTGCAGAAACTACTGTATGAGTTTAGTTATTGGGTAATTTATCAGAGCTTGAAGAAGACCCTAACTTAGACTACTTTTAAGAGATCCAGGAACCTCTGGTGCAAGGTCTTCAGTACCGAATGACCAGCAATGGGAGGCAGCATAAACTAGAAGTTCCAAGAACTACAAGTATCAAAAACTAACCTTTGGCGGATCACTGAATGTTTGGACCATGGAAATTTTTTTTAACTTACAGTGAGGATTACTGTGAGCTTTCTAAGTAATATATGTACGCACTGGTTGGAGCGTCCATGGATCCATAAGAGAGCGCGATCATCTGCGAGAGGGCTCGGAAGACCCCCCAGGAATACTTTACGATGACCGTGGCATTCTGGAACAAACCATTTGAAATCCTAATGAATGACAAACACGTCGGATGTACTGTATGAGCCTAACATGGAGCGTACCATCAAGTTCTCCTTGCGCACCCAGCAGTCTGTGGGGAACTCTTCCAGCATGGGCACAAAGTACTGGATGCATCCATTCCAGTGGCACAGCAGGAAGATCATCATGAACAGGGACAGGATGCGGAAGAACAGGCGCACCACCTCTAAGTTTGCATTGGATACCTAAGGAACAGGTCAGGAACAGGAACGTTGCAGCTCTAAACATACGAGATGATAAACCTTTTGTGACAGAAAGGTCCCGGAATTTTTGAAGAACCGTTTTGTGTTTGGGTCACAGTAATGATTGTCGAAATTTGTTAACCGGGTAATTTACTGGGCCTGAAAGTAGACTGTGCTACTGCAATAGTACTTTGTACTTTCAAAAGGTCCAGGAACATTTCATTCCTGAACATATCTGATTGGAAAGTTTGAAGTCTAAGAACTGAAAGCCCCTGGAACTTTTCAATGACCGTTTTGTGTTTGGACCACATGAACTATTGTCTGAATTCAGTTTCTCTGCATTTTATCGGCCCTAAAATAAAACCTTGGTAGGGACGGAGTATGTTTGAAATGTCTGGGAGCCTTTCAGGCATGGTCTACAGTGTAAATCTTTAATTCCAGGAACTACAAGTAACCAGAATGAAACGTTTCTGGAACTTTTAGAGGACCACTGTGCAGTGGTTGGGCGACAGAAACCACTGTCTACATTTAGTTCTATAGTTACTAAATAATTCATCCAGGGTAATTAAGACACGGCACTTTTGAGAGGTCAGGAACCTTGGGGCTCTAAATTTAGAGGATCTGATTGTAATCTAGTACCAAGAACTTCTGAACTTTGTTCTCGTAAATCTTGCGCGGAAAGAGTCACAGAGTCCACTTACTTTCTCCACCTCATTGAAGAAGCGGACCAGCCTGGACACCCGTGCCAGCCGTATGAGACTGAGGATGCGCACAAACATGAGGATCCTCATCATCCTGGTGGTCTTGGAGGGGTTGTCATTGCTGTGGTAATGTAAGTCCTAAACATAAGCACACACTATTATCCTCTGATGTTTGCATTCTTATAATGATGCTTCTGATTACCGCAAAGAGCAGAATGTATCCAATGGGGAAGGCAGCGATGACGTCAGGGATGAACCATGTCCTCAGGTAGCACACTCGGATCTGCTTGATGTCTAAAATTGCTTCCTGGGGGAAAACAAACGGCAGACAGAGAAAGATAGTCTTTGAAAGTCGATTTCTGTTTACACTTGTAAGGTCAGAATCTTCCAAAGTTAGATGGTTCATCATTAGACTTTCTTTCACGTCAGTGATTCCAGAAACGCGATTGACATGGAAGAGTTAAAACCCTCTCACCAAAAACAAATGTTGCCATAATTGACAACAGTCCGAATTATGCAAATGCTGTATTAAAATCATGATTACAGCAAATATTGATATGAAAAATATTTATAGGCCATTAAAAAAAAAAAGTCTGTAACCTCAAGAATGTCATATGTCGGTCCCATTGTAAACTGGAGAACCTCTGTAAATTTTACGTGATGTCCGCCGTTCACATTTGCATCCCAACCCAGCAGTTGAGACTCACTGATGTGGAGCATCTGTAATCCCGGTGATTGTCCGGGTCTTCTCATCTGTCACCTGACTCCATAACACAGATTAACAAGCCCGGTCACGGAGATCATGCATCAGATCCCTGCACACTGACGTGAGAGTTGCTAAGCTGGGTTTTCATCCGTTCACCTTTTGTGACATCCAGCCGGCCAATCACCGGAGACCCATCTGCACTCGGTATCGTGCACACATGCTTACACACGCAGCAATCAACACATTTTTACCACTTTCTTAGGACTCACTGGCGTGCGTTTGAGCAATCATATTATAACCTTCTCATCAGGCACATCCGAACCTTCCAACCCAACCTAATATATCTTATTAGACTTGAATGAGATACATTAGAATGGATAAGGAACACATAAGGACGAAAAACTGTTTTCCCTCCATTGGAACTCATGGAAATAACAATGTTGCAGGGTCAAAACTGTCGGTTTGCACTTTGCATAAAAAAGTGACTTGTTGTCGCTTTGACAGCCCTGCAGCTTTGCATCAACCTGTAACATTGGACTTCAGGAGCTTTGCTGAAACTATGGTGGAAAATCCATTTCATCCATTTTCTGCCAGCAACTGTGCATAAGATTAGCAAACAGAAACAGAATGTCGGGACGTCCAGCAGCTGAGAGGATTTTCTAAATGTGAGCGACCTGGAATTAGGAAGATTTCTACTTGAAAGGTACTTTTATCACCGCTTTCTGATTTTTAATTTGATGGCACATTCTAAAAAAAAAAAAGAAAACTTCACACTGGAATCATTTAGGGCTCTATTTTCATACTTAGTACTTTCATGCTGAGATCAACCACACACACACACACACACACACACACACACACACACACACACACACACACACACACACACACACACACACACTAGTTGTGGCATGGTCAGCGGGGTGCTTTTAAAAATATAGAAGAAGAGGATAATAGAAATAATAATGCATTCAATGAATTGATTTCTACAATGATCAATTTCTGCAAACAGTCTGCCTCCGCCTGGATCAAATCCAAAATCGCATTACACCACCTGAGGAGTGATTCAGACAGGGGCATTACACCACACATAACGCCACAACTTAGACCTGCTTTTAGCTGGTCTGAGATTGAGACTACTTTCTGTTGCCAAATTGTCAGGTGCGCATGTAATAGAAAACACCCTCAGTCCATCGGAACACCCAGCATGCTGCGGCGTGGGCTCCCATTTTCCCAAATACGGCAAACTAGACTTGCCCTGGCATGAAAATTAAGAAGCGCCAGTTTGTATGCCGAGCGTACGTGCGCCTGTCTACAAAAATAGTGCCACGTGAACGTCATCAAACAGTCGGTGGGTGGTCCCCTCACCTCTCCGTTCTCGCTGATGATGCCCATGCGGAAGTTGAGCGCCACATCGATGAGGAAGAGTGTGTCTGAGAAGACGTTAAAGCCTTCCCAGGCCAGCCCGCTGGTGCCATCCAGGAAGGCGATCTCCATGGGGATGCCGATTAAGTTGAGGAAGGTGATGGCCATCATGCCCATGATGTAGTAGCTCCTGTGGGAGGGGGAACATCATTAAATAGGGAAGTGAAGGCTGTGTTAAGCACACACACACACACACACACACACACACACACACACACACACACACACACACACACACGCACACACACACACACACTGTGTATGTATCTATTACAAGGCTCAAACAACTATGTGTGATCACCTTACTTGACTAAAAAGAAGGCTGCAGGGGAGTCATGTTCATCCAACGCTTTCTTCCTGGAATTGGTGTCCCACAGTGTTCCTGAATGTCCCCCTCACACACGGCTATTATTAACACCTCGGCTTTATTAATAGCATAAAAAGTCTGCCTGCTCAGCATATATTGCTCCAAATGGGAATTGCAGCATTGTATTGCTTCCGCATCTCAAAATGCGCAGCGGTTGACTTCTTTTTACACTTGCGTGACACTTGAGAATGTTCATAATTGAGGCGTTTTGTCGCGGCGGTGTTTCGTTCCTTTTTACGTGTCAGATTTAGATGGTGGACGTCTTTTTACCCTCGTATGACGCCACAATCAACATGAAGTATAATGAGATACAGTCAAACTGATGGATGGATGGATGTTGGATGCAAAGATAGCTGGATGGGTGGAAGGGAAGAGTAGAAGGGTGGAGTGGCGAATGTGGGAGTGATGTGCGAATAGATGGATAGATGGCAGTTGGATGGATGGATGGATGGATGGATGTCGCGCGTGTGTGTGCGCGCGTGTACCTCATGAGGCTGAACGGATGGATGACAAAGACCCCGCTTTGCAGCTGCCGCATGCACTCCTTCTCCACGGCCACCTCGCTTCCGTACATGTAGAGCGATTGGCGGTTCTGCTGAGGCAACAGCAGCGCCCGCCATCCGCAGGGCGCCCGCTCGCATCCCGCCGCCGCCGCCGCCGACGACCCCTGAGCGCTTAATCTCTGCATGGCAGCCGCGGCATGACTCGTTCGCCTCATCGGTCCATCCCGCCTCGACTTACTTGAGTTGTTCTTGGAGTTGGTGTTGTCGTTGTGGGAGTTCTTGTCAGGGTTCTTTTGAGTCCTCTCCTTCTAGTTCTCTTGAGTTATTCTTTCTCTGGTTGTTGTTGTTCCTTGTTCTTGTTTTTCTCGTTATGTCTTCATGTTCTGGTTATTTGTCTTTCACTTTTTTATTTCTTCTTGTAGTTTTTTTTTCTGTCAGTGTACCGGTAGTTTTCGTTAGTTTCTTATTCCCTGTATTTTCGTCTTGTGATCCTATTTCTTCCGGTTCTTCTCTCTTCTTCTATTTCTTTTTTTTTCTACTTGTACTTTTTCCCTTTCTTTTAGTTCTTGCGGTTATTCTTGATCCTCATCTAGTTCTTCTTACGCTTCTTTTTCATCTGTTTTTTTTTCTCTTGTTCCTCTACTCGGTACTCTTATTCCTTTTCTTGTTTTAATTCTTTGCCTTCATTCTCTTCTTACAGTTCTTGTTCTTCTTGTTGTTGTTCTTCCTCGTAGTCACTCGTCTTGGTGATTTTTGGAGCAATGTGTTTCAGCTAGTTTGCTTTTGTTAATCGTGCTAGTCTAAGTATTACCCAAAAATCATCTTGTTCTTATTCCTCTTGTTCTCCTTGTAGTTCCTCTTCCTGTCTTTCTTGCCTCCGTCCCAACTACTTTTCCCTTGTCGAGCTCAACCTTAATGAAGCCGTGTGCAGGAGAGGCGAGCAAGGATGATACCCGCCTTCCTCCCTCCCTCTCATCCTCTCAGCCTCCCCCCCCCTCTCTCTCTTTCTCTCTCTTTCTTTCTACACCTCCCGTCTTCCTTTTCTCTCTGCGCTCATCAACTATTCACGATGTCACTTTTGTCCTCCATGAATCATGCCAAGAGGCTAAAGTCCACTTCACATTCCTTCCTCAGGCTTCCGGTGTGCATGTCTGTCTCTTGATTGATGGCTCGATCACAGGTGTGATGGATGGATGTTAGCGCGACGGCTGGATGATGAATTGTGAATAGGCTGGAATTTGTTGGGTTCACGAGTGGACGGAGGTGGAATGGATCTTGTACGTGTGTCTTATTTCTGTATTAAGTTTTTGTGCGCGTGGCCGCGTGCACGTGTGTGCGTGGAGGCTTGTGTGAATGTGTTAGTGTAACGTGTGTGTAGAGCAGCGAGTTCAGTCTGGGACATGACATTTCCATCTCTTCTATTTGGGATGTAATGAAACACTGTCTTTGTTACCTGAGCCCTCTGTGCCCACTCTGTGTGGATTTCTTTCACTTTATTACCACCACAACAAGACACACAGTCAGGAATACGAGTGCGTGCGCACATACACACATACTCTCACACACACACACACACACACACACACACACACACACACACACACACACACACACACACACACACTCTGTGGTTTATTTCATAATGTTTGTTTTCGCTTGGACGGATTTTATGCAGCTGTGGCGAAAGGAGGATTAACGATGGGGGCATGTCAGTCAAAAAATGTAAATCAACGCAACTGTGTTGACTTAATAGATTTTCCTCAATTATTGATTTGATAGTCATGCTACATTGATGCTTTCAGAAGCTACTCGAGAAAAATCAAGAAATGCGAGACGTCATTCGGGCCAGAGCAGAAGACGACAGGTGTGCTTCAATCCAGACCAAATGACATAACGGATTCAGACCAGAGCAGTCGAGCTCAGGTGCTTGACGGACCAGAGCAATAGATTGACTCAAAGCAGATCAAAGCATGTTGCCTAAAGAGTTATCCAGACTGTAGCAATCAAGCTCAGGTGTGATTCAAAGCGGCCCAAATGTCACCAATGGGGAATTCGGATGAAAGCAAGTGATTCAAAGAGCATGTGAGACCAGAGCAGTCCATCCTTTGTGTGATTCCAGATGAAGTGACATCTATGTGGATTCCAATGAGAGCAAGAGATTTGAGGAGTGATTCAGACAAGGGCAAATGATCCGTGGCGCAGATCAGACCAGAATAATGGATCCAAGGTGTCCTTCAAAGCAGATCTACAGAGGTGGATTGACAAATGACATTATAGAGCTATTCCAACAAAGGCGAGTGATTAAGACCACAATAATTGAGCCGAGGTATAATTGAGAGCATAGCAAATGATCCATAGTGACATTCGTAACAGACCAAATTACATACAAATCGATACTGGGTGTACTTCGAACGAGACTGATTGACATAAATGGGTAATTCCAACACAAAAGAGTGAGTCAGACCAGAGTAATGGAGACAAGGTCTGCTTCAAACCAGGCCAAAAAGCTCATTCCTGTCACAAATGGAGTTCTTCAGACCAGAGCAAGCGATTGTCAGAGATTCTCCTTATGTCCTTTTAAATTTCTATGGGTGTCAGATTCATAGTGTTCATAGCTACATTTGCAGACTTTCCTTTTGTTGCCATTTCCACTGACGTTCAGTCCAAGTTTGGCTTCATTTCGTCAGGCTTTATCGTCACGGGAGGCAATTTGTTGGCGGTGAACGTTAATCAGCAAGCTTGGAGAGACACGAGAGCAGCTGCTGATTCTGTAAAAAGCCTTTGAAAAAAAACATGGAAGGCAACATGAGGACTTTGCAATGTCTTTAGTCGAGTGTTGCAAAAAAAAAAAAGGTGAATATCTGCAAATAATGCGCTTTGCTTACTTGTTTGTTTAAGCAGGGCACAGCTGCCGGGGAGAATGACTCAGGTCTTCTGCTTGCTTACGCCTGGATTTTTTTTCTTTTGCTGACGCACAGCGTGGACATGTGCGCGCACACACACACACACACACACACACACACACACACACACACACACACACACACACACACACACACACACACACGCACATGCATTTTTCATATTTCAATACTCCCGAGTCTGCCCCCTGTTCTATATTTTTCATCCAGCAGCAGCCAATTTTAAGACACAGATATACAGTACACAGATGGGGTCAGCTGAAGTACAGAATCATGCATCTTGCATTGTCGTTTTTGGGATTTATTTTACTGTATTTTCTTTAGTATTTTCCTGTATTTTGAGTACTTAACTAGTGGGATTTCACTATGTTTTTATTTTTTTCAGTCATTTTATAATTATTCAATTCATGCATCTTAGCATCCATCCATCTATCCATTTTCTAATCGGCTTATCCTCACGAGGTTCGCAAGCGTGCTGGAGCCTATCCCAGCTGTCTTCGGCCAGCAGGCGTTGTACACCCTGAACTGGTTGCCAGCCAATCGCAGGGCACACATAGACGAACAACCATTCGCACTCACTATCACACCATGGGACAATTTAGAATGTTCCGTTAACCTGCCATGCATGTTTTTGGAATGTGGGAGGAAACAGAAGTACCCAGAAAAAAACCCCACACTGGTACCAGGAGAACACGCATACTCCAGACAGGAATCGAACCCTTGACCTCTGCACTGTGAGGCGCACGTGGTAACCAGGTGATCAATGTGCCAGCCCACATTTTAGCACACTGAATTAAATTTTATTGTAATTGAATCATTATTTAAATGTATTATATTTGAGTTTATTTGTCACATATGTCATTTTTTTTCACAGTCCATGTGGAAAATGCATTTTTACTCAGATCGCCCACATAAAAACTACATATCCCAGAGGGCAATGCTGCTGGTCGACGTGATCACGTGACGACACGCCGGTTCCTTCGTCGTTCTACTGTGAAGGTGACAGCGTACAGCACGACCCTCCCTACTGTATATTGCTAAGTTACGTCAGAGACCTTAAATGTGAGTCTTTCGTTTATCGCTGGTTCATCTTCGTCCACATTTCACGTTCGCGAACCCAGATGCGAAAACGGAGCGCTTTTCGAGCAGTTTAGCGCCTGACGTCACGACATCGCTTGAGCTAGCTGGAGAGTTAGCCCTTCACGTGGGTTATGCAATGTAGGGCAAAAGATATTTTATATGATCAAACGCTTAAAAAGCAAGGCGAGACGACACGTCGTGCTTATACCGTTTGGTTTCACGCGGCACATGTATTATGATTGTCAATTTTAACTGATTATTTTGACAGGAGTTTGTGATGCGCGGACACACCTCCACTGTCGTCACGCAAATGTCCCTCTATCAATATTTGTACTGTATCTCCTTTTCATAAATGCACTATTAGTAATATTTGACCTGTAAAATGAACCTTCCATATGTTATCTATGTCTGTATACATTCCAATACGTTCAGTGAGCAAAGGCAATATGTTGACCCGTGATTTGCAACGGTTTTTTGAATTATTTCCAATGTATAAAGTGGATTATTGTAAACCGATTATAAACCGAGGAACCATTACTTTGCCCAGTGATTACCGAATAAAATCTGTCGGGTGTGTAAAATGAGTGTCTGCTGCTGCCTTGAAGCATGCGCCACAAGTGTCACATTTGGTTTCACTTTGACTCAGTAACCGTCAAGTCCGGATATGGATGATGAAACGCCAGATTCAAATAAATAAGCAAATTGACTCTTGTGTGTAAGGAGTGAAGGTTCGACAAGTTTGCTTTTACATATATTATAACACTTGGAACAAGTACAGTATCTGATTCAGACCAGAGCAAATGATCTCAATCATTTGTCAAACCAGATCACAAAACCGTTGTAGCAGATTCCATTAAGTAAATCAGACCAGAGCAAACGAACCAAGATACCATTCAGACCACAGCAAGTGATCCAGCATGCTAGTCAAACCAGACTAAAGAGTAAGTGTAGCCCACCCAGAGAAATTGATTCAAGATTCCAGACGGCTTAAATTACATGAAGGGGTGACCGCAATAAAATTCACGGAGTTCTTCACGCCAGATGAAATTACTGGAAAGGATGTTTCCAAACAGACAAGATTATTTGAGTGATTTAGATCACAACAGATGATCCTTGGGTTGATCTTAAGTGTAATTTAAACCAGATCAAATGGCATTTAAAAGTGATTCCAACATTTTTTTTTTTATAAGGGGTGAATCAGCAATCGATCTTGTGTGAGTCAAATGTGATTCAGATCAAAGCAATCACTTCAAGGTGTGATTCAAAGCGTAGCAAATGACAAAGGGGTGATTTGAATAAAAGCAAGAGATCCAGACCAGAGTAAGCGATCACGAGAGACCCTTATCCCGTTGTAGGTTCAAGATGTCGACCGTGTCTGCCGCCGCTGTTGAGGCCGCTACCATCCCCGAGGGCAGCGAGCAGAAGAAGCCGCTCAAGGCGTGCTGTGCTTGTCCTGAAACCAAGAAAGTCAGAGACGCATGGTAACTATTTGGATTACTCAAGTACAAAATGTTCAAATGCTGATTAAATTGTATTTATCTTGTCCTCAGCATCATTGAAAAGGGTGAAGAGAATTGCACGGAACTCATCGAAGCCCACAAAGAATGCATGAGGCAGCTGGGATTCAACATTTAACTGTTTAATTGTGAGAGAGTGTGGATGTGTGTGGTAAGTTAAGTCTTGTGAGTTATCATTTTCTCAGCTTGTAAATCTCTGTAGAAATCAGACACCTAACGATGATCTTCATTAAAGAAAGTGATCTTGGGCAGCGTTTCCGAAACTCTGAGCCAGAGTAAAGGGCGCTGAGGGATTCAGACCAGATTTTAAACACTCTAAACGTCTGATTCAGAAGACCTGCGTAATTGATCCCAGGTGTAAAGTGGACCAAATGGCATTCAAAGGCGATTCCAATATGACCTGACGATTTCAAGAGTCACTCAGACCAAAACAATCAATCCCAGGATTGATTCAAACCAGTGTGAACGTCCTCAAAAAGCAGTTCAATTGAGAACAACTGATCTGAATGATCCAGACCAGAGTAAAGGCTCTCAATGTGTGATTAAGACCAGATCAATCGATCTTTGGTGTGATTCAAACGAGATGGAATGACCCAAAAGAGCAATTCAAATGAGAGCAGGTGAGTCAGACGAGAGCAATCTATGTGAAGTGTCATTCCTACCAGACAAAATGACAAAAGGTGAATTACAATAAAGCACAGGTGTCAAACTCAAGGCCCGGGGGCCAGATCTGGCCCACCACATCATTTTATGTGGCCCGCAAAAGCAAATCAAACATGTAACTTCCATGATGCTTGTGGTGCCATTTAGACCAGAGCAATCTATCCCAGGTGTGAGTCAAACCAGAGTGCATAACCTAAAAGAGAAATCGCAATGATAACAATCAATGTCAGTGATTCAGATGACAGGGGTTATACTAAAATGATTAAAAACTGGCCATAGGTGGTGCTCAATGTACAGCAGAGGTATTAAGATCAACGTGAAATGCCGTCACTGGTATGTGCAGAGTCAAGTAGCCGCGTGAAATGCTAATTTTAGCTTGTTGAACTTGACTATACAAATGTTCTGCCTGTTGCTTTTTGACACACACGTCATTTTTTTTTTTCAATCTTTTGATATGTTGAACCTTTTTGTCTTTTTCTCCCTCAGCAAAATGGACGACGACAACTCAGGAAGTTTTGGAAGGACAAAACTTCTTATTTATTTTTTTATGTGTGATGTTGACTGGAGTTAAAAGTTTGAATAAAAGTTCTATGCAATCATCTCCGTGCTCCAAAGTTTTTTTTTTTTTCTTCCAAAATGGAAGGTGAATTATTAATGCTGTGGCGTCTTCCTAACCTCGGTGTCCACTTCTTCCCCCTTCCCCAAATGGTTGGCGTCCCTGGTATGCACTCAGGCTTTTAAAAATAACTGCATGTCAATACTTGACATATCTGCATTCTTCTCCGTGGCGGACCGAACACCATTTTGCCCTTTACAGAGGTAACTTTGAATATGAGAGCATCAATCTTGAGCCAAGAAAATTGATGCATCTAAGTGAGGGAGAGAAAAAAAAAAAATAATAACATGTCCATAAAAAATGACTCTGCAAGGTATAAAAAAGGAATATGTGTAATTTGTTTCAGGACTACAAATGACTTCACAGGCCCTGGCGGTGGTCTCGCCGCTCTTGTTTTTGCCAATTGAGATGGACAGTTTAGTATGCCGGGCAGCAGCCGTGGATATTTTTACCTGAAATCCGACCTGCGCAGTGTCGTCCATTTTGTTTCGACGCCTTGTTCAAGACAGAACTTGACACATGAACAACACAAGAACATTTTTGGGGCCTGTCAGAACCTCTGGAGAGTTCATAGCGTGACAAAGTCCTTCCCACTTCCTGCCTGCCCCTTTCTTGCTGTTATGTTAAGTAGCAGGCCTGCATTCTGTCGGCCACTCGTGTCCTCCTTGGGTTTCAATTCCAAACATGGTGATCCTTGTGGGGACTCCATATCAACGACACCCCACTCCCACTCCCACTCCTCCTCCCGGCTTATCCGCCCTCCTCCAGCTGTTGTCGCCAAAGTGCTGGCCGGCGATTGAACCGAACGAGTCGCCACCCGAGACGAAAAAAGGGGACGCACAATGAGAACAGGACCTCGTTCTAGAACTGCGAGAAGCCCCTGAAGAACTCCCCGAGGGAACGCATTTGGATTGCAGACTTTGCCGTGCTTTCCGGACATGAGTGGGGAAAACGGCAGCCTGATGGAGAACCTGTTCGCTGCCCCCATCTGTGATGGCTGGAGCAACAACACCGAGGGGGCCCTTTATCATCTGGGCAACACGATCCTGTTCCTGGGCTATATGGGTGGCAGTGGAGCTTACGGGTGCCTTTTCATCTTCGGCCTCCTAGCGCCTTCCTTCCTGTGTCTGACTCTGTGGGGCTGGATGACGCTATGCGGGCCCGATGTGGTCACCTGGAACCTTTTGCTGCTTCTAGCGTGCCTGCTCCAGATTTGCCACCTGCTCTATCGCTTGCACCAGGAGGGATTGTCCAGCGAAGAGCTGGCCGCTCTCTACCAGGCCGTCTACCTCCCGTTGGGGGTGCCCGTCCAGGTCTTCAAGGAGATCGCGGGCGCCTTTGAGAACAAGGTGCTGGAAATGAAGGCGGGTGAGAAGTACGCGGTGGAGGGCAAGACGCCCATCGAAAGGCTCTCCTTTCTGCTGTCTGGCAGGTGACTGTCTTGATTACTTGTTAGGATTCACTTTGGTAGTTGTCGTGGTACAATCTGCTGACTTTTTGTGATCCAGAGCAGGTTCAGTTCCCTACCAGGCCCTTATCGCCTACTGACCAGGATAAATGTCAGGAAAGGTGTCCAACGATGTGAAGGGTAGTGAAGTGGTAGTAAGTTTTGCTCGCGTGGGTCCGGTTCCCGGCTCGGTCCTGAACGGCCACTGGAGCCACTTGCGATCCCCAGTCACAGTCCCAAACCTGAAGGAGGAGGATTATTTCAGGAATTGTGTCCACCCCAAAAAAAACTTCACAAAAACAACTACAATGACTTAAGTTGTCATGGGTAATGAATTACTTATAAAGGGGAGTGGAGTGTTTCATGTCACCCGCTTTCATGAGCATGTTTGCTTTCGAGCCGGGGCCCCGACATCCAGCTGCCAGATCTCTCAAAAGTTGCTGAAAGTCAACCACACTGACCAGTTGTGAGGAGAAAAACCTGAAAAACAACAAAAAGAAGTAAACACAGTTGTACTAATTTTGGCCTTCCTTGTCTTCGCGCCGTTCACTGTGACGCCATGCTAATTCCGTAGCTAATGCAGCTAGCATCCTCCTGCCTGAACTGATAACCGGGACCGGACCGAGTGTAAATGTTACATATGATCCCCAGTAACGTTTCTTGACTATTTCAAACTCGATTCCGATTCTGACTGGATGTTGTTCGGAGTGCACAGGGAGAGGGTCGCAACAAGCTTTTGTTCTGCCGAGGTTGTCCCAGGTAAACGTGACCATGAAGAGATTTTAGTCGATCAGATGCTGCGACATTCAAGCGTGAAGGAGAAAAGGGAATCTTTAATGCGATCCAGTTTTAGTTGGTGGATTATCTTAAAGCCTCTCCCCCCGACTGAGGAGCTTCCTGATGACTTTATCCATCGTCTCTGGCAAACGAACAAACGGGGCTTGACGCAGCAAATATTCACGGCGCTGTACAGTATTTTTTTTTGGTCCCCTGCGGAGATCATTATGCAAATGTTTGGGAAAGTCACCCCCGACATCAGCGGTGACCTCCGGCTCTCTAATCTTGTGTTCCCTTTTTTAACCTTGTCACTCTTGACGTCAGGATCAACGTATCTCTGGAGGGTCAGTTCCTGCACTACATCCACCCACACCAGTTCCTCGACTCGCCCGAGTGGGAGTCACTGAGGCCCAATGAGGACGGAAAGTTCCAGGTAGCCCCACGTTTCATCCGCGGCCAAAAAGCAATTTTATTTTATTTTTTTTTAATACGTCATTTTAAATTACATTTTTTCCGATTGAAAAACGTCAACTTTTGGCAGTTTCTTGCTCCATTTTCTTCTTCTCTAGAAAAAAATTGATGTTTCTCCCTTTAAAAAAAATGTTACATTTTTCTTGGAGCATTCTCACTTAGTTCTTGGAAAATTCAAACTTGTTTATATGAGGGGAAAAAAAAAACTAACCTTTTTTTAGGTGAGATAAGGGTGTTTGTGTTGCCTCTTTCTTAGGAAAATTGTTGGGGTTTTGTTTCCCCGTATGAAATTTGTAGCTATTTTCAAGTAAAGTTACGTTTACTTGGAAATTTTTTGAAATATTTAAGTAAATTTTTTTTCAACTGACTTTCACGCAAAATCTAAAAAAATCCTTGGAAAATGAGGACTTTTAGCTAGAAAAATCAAAATGTGTTAAAAAAAATAAAAATAATGATTTTTTTTTTTTTTTTGCCAGGAATTGTAAGAGTTGTTCTTAAATACCGCTTTCTCTAGTCTCAGAGAATGAGCAGAAAAAGGCATTTTCTTGGAAAAACGTCCTGAATGCCTTTCTTTGAGAAAAGAATGTACACCTTTTGGAAAGGTGAACATGTTAAACTGCCACAGAATAGCGCCAACGTCTGCCAAGGAGGATTTATTCGATGTCAAATTTATATTGCCTCGAGTATCTGTGGCTGGTATCGGCAACCTACATGCAACCCCATACCTTAAAATACGGCTGATATCGATACTCGTCCCTCATGAGACCCACCAGAATTTTCTGATTCCCATCCCACTTTTGGCCTGTGTTTGTCTTTCAGGTTACTCTGACGGCAGAGGAGGACTGTCGCTACGTGTCGTGGCGCCGCCGCCGCCTCTTCTCGCTCATGTCCAAGGAGCGTTATGTGTGCCGCCTGTTCGCCGTCATGCTCGGCTACGACATCGCCGAGAAGCTGTACAACCTCAACAACAAGCTGTACATCAAGAGCGGCGTCCTGCTGGACATTCGCCTTCCCAGCCTCTACCACGTTCTGGCCCCCCCGTCACAGAGCAACGAGGGCGAACCCCCCGAGCGAGACGACCGACACCCTCCCCGGGAGTCAGACCCCGACCGGGGACGCCAGGGCGAGAACCCCATCGGGCAGCGGTGGCCGTCCGACCCGGAGCTGCCCTCGGGTGAGGACTCCACCAGCCTGGTCCTGGAGGACTTTGCCGACATGGCGGGCTCCTTAACCGACTATGGCAGTGAGAGGGATTATTTGAGGTAGAAGGGGGCGCGAGGGGGTCCGGAGTTAACACACTGGCTCACCCGCTTAGGATACATGTAAGTACTGCACCTGCGCGGTTAAATGGCAGTTTCGTGTGCATGGATGATGCCACCTTCAACACTAACGATAACAATATATTAACAAGACTTTCTTGGCAACTTCTTCCCGTCAACATTTTCAGAGAATGATTACTTTTGGTGGAAATGTGCTACTTTTTTTTGTTGAAAAATACAACTTTTCTGGAAATGTACAGAATTTTTTTTTCCCTCTAAAAAGTTTTCTTCTGGCATATATTGTGAGATTTCTTTAAAAAATTATACAAATACATCTTTAAAAACAACATTTTATTGAAAACTACTTTCTTGGAATGTATTAAAAAAAACTCAACGAAACTAAAAAAATTAAGATATCTAAATCTAAAAACAAGAAATCTTTTTTTTTTTCTTGTGTGTTGGGGGCCGGGGGTAGAAATTGTTTGGGGAAATTTCAATTTATTTTCTTGGAAGATTATGATTTTCTTGGAAAAAAAAAATCATCATTAGCATGTGAGATGGGTCCTGCTAAAATCACAAATAAACAATCATTTATAACTAACTAATCCATAAATCAACGAGTTAGTGTTAATTGATGAATGGGGCGTGATTATTACCTGTTCTAACCAGCAAAAAAGATTTCAATTTAATTCACCATTTTGTGGATTGACATTTTTTTCCCAAATTCGTGGCATCCAGTCGAATGTAATTCTCATTTGTGTCCACAGGGGGCACCATGGCGGGAGGCGCAGCTCGCTTCCAGAGGACTCGAGCGCCGCTGGCTCCCACTGACACTCCCAAACTCTGACCACGCCATTTTTTGTTTCTTTTGATTTCTTTTCAGCCGTTCACACTATTTGGACCACAGTTTTTTTTTTTTTTTTGTGTTTGTTTCGATTCACACATCACTTGTGCTCATTTAATATCATTTTGTTCAAAAACACAAAAGAAATTGAGAGCTTCCTCTGTAAATAAAAACAATGTGTTAACGTAGTTAGCCGTGGGCACGTTTTTTTTCCTCTTAATATTGAACATGCACCAATATAATGTGAAATTGTCCAATTACAGGGGGCCAACATTTCTCCATAAAGCTTTTGTGCAATGTGCAATGAAAATGTTGTTTTGGGACTGTCTACTTCCTGGAATGCTTCATGTACAGGCTATGCTTAGTTGCTATTTTTTTTTAGCCTATTTCAATGTAAATCGTGTGTAAAATGACAACAATAAACACACATGCTGACATGGACCTCTGCACTGTCTCCACTTGGCTGCAGTGCCATGGTTTCTTACTGCCCTCAGTCCCCTCTTGGATAAAAATCGACGTTTCATTGTGCATTCATTTGAGGATTCGTGGCTCGAAACCACAAGAAAATAAGATATCCATGCTATTGTTTGCCTACTCCACAGTCTCCATTTTGCTGTGACGCTGCATTTTCTTGCCACTTGGATTTTTCCCCGTTTTGTCTCTGAAGGGGGTGTCAGAAGTGGCTGCACACCTGCACAAAGTCATGTGACCACGGCGACCCTCGCCTAACGTTGATGTTGTTCACGCACAGTGGCTCCTCGCGCCTGATAAAACAGAAAAAAAAATTGTGTCTCATCAATAGATTTTAAAACTTAAAACTGATTTAAGAAAAAAACTAATTTAATTTTGCCCGGCAAAAATGTCTTCCCCACAAACAATGGTGAAACCTGCCTAGCAACAAGTGATCACATGTATTCTGCCTAGCAACAAGTGTCTTCACACCTAAAGGATTGTGAAATCTGCCTCGCAACAAGTGTGTCATCCCCCCCAGTGATTTTAAATTCTACCTCATAACAGCTCTCCCTCCACAGGAACGAATGGTAATCCTGTCTTGCAAGACTTCTGAAAAATAATTATCTGAAGAATTTGCAGCGCATGCTAGCTAAAGTTGTATTTTTAGGCTTCTGATCTTATTTTCCAAGCCGAAACTCGTAACATTTGAAAAACATACCCATCTAGTGGCCTGACTATCGCCCCGACAAAACAAGAGCATCGCGTCAACATTTCAGTCTGGACGTACGTGCGCGAGGCGATTTGGGACAGGCAGATGGACTTGAGGTGGATGTCATTCTGCCGGTAGAAGCGAGCGCCCGTGTTTTTCAGCGTGATGGAGTGAATCTCACACAGCGCCACCGGGTGAGCCAGTATCGTCCTGTACACTGTTGTGTCTGTTTGACTAAAACACACACACACACACATTGATCACTGCAGGCAGTTATGACCTCCCTCAAGGATGTCAGCGCTACAAATGGCTCGCGGGGAAGGTGATGACTATTAGGATAGGAACAACATCCCATGGACCTTGAATTCAGATACTGTATGAGGTTATCGCACCAAGTGGTCCAGTCCAGTTCAAGGTTTATAGAAGTGGAAATCCTGGCACACCACACGCTATAAGAATCAGTCGGTTTGGTACCCTTTCGCAAACCTCAACTATGGGAGCGAACTGATCCAAACTGACGAAAAGGGTTCATTTTGTGTGCCACGGTGCTTGGGAGCCCAAAGGAAGGATGCCAAAAAAAAAAAAAAAAAA